AACTACGGTGTGCTTTCATCGAGGTCTCGGGCGATGACCTCTGCTGTTGATACGTTGTTGCCTGACGACGCCAGCATGTCGGAGGTAGCTCCACCGCCTCCAGGGCTGTTGGAACATCAAGTGTCGGCTCCCTCTCGTTATTATGGCTTGTCGTCACATTTAGGCGCTTCTCATGGTGGCTACAGTGGTAGCTGGGAGGCGCCACAGCAGCAACGGAGATCGAGCTCTGGTGCTTTGAGCTATCACCAACCGGTGTCACCAACGACTCCACCGAAGATGAACTTACTAGAAGCGTTGCAGGTTAAGACCGAAGCTGATGAGAAGAGGGTGTTTACTGTGCGGAAGGTGCACAAGTTGGGCTTCAAGGCTAGGCATATTCTAAGGGAGTACTTCTCTAAATATGGTCATGTACGTGATGTTGTGCTACTACCTATGCGGGCCAAGCCTCGTCCGGGCCCTGGCGGTATCATTCGTGGCCCACGACCGAGCTCTATGGGCTTTGTGGTCATGTCCACCCCTGAGGAAGTCCGCCGCGTCTTAGATGTTGATGGTGTGCATATTGTGAGAGGATGGCCTATCGAGGTTAGGCCGTTCGTGAGACCTGCTGATCAGGCCCCTGCTACTACTACTAAAGTGCAGCAGCAGCAACACGAAGAAGGAGAGTTTTTTGATGATGTTGGTAATCGGATCTCGTCGTTATCATCATTGTCCAATCACTCACATAATAGCAGCACTCCGAGTGATGTTGTCCGTTCGGACACTGAGTAGTCTGCGGACTCTAGTTCATTGAACTGCCATATTATTGTCTGATAATGCCAGTAAGTGCATTCAGCGGGCTGAGTTAATAAGGCTAGTTAGTCCCTCTTTTTATGATTACTATTACTGTGCTCTTCTCCTCTGTTTGAGTCGTAATACGTCTAGTCAATAGCTTCTCTCAGTATCACCAGTCGTGGTATTGTCTCGAGAGGCTTGAGTAATTTTTATGCCGGTTTTCTCCAGATTCCTACAGGTGTACTTACATTTTGTGAGCTGCTGAGTTGTTGCAAGCATGTTAGTGTCTCGATTGTGGGAAAATGTCTATGAAACCGAGGATCTACTAGGCTACTGCCTATTCCGTGCTAATACTTGATATTTGTAATAGTTGGTCAACATCATTATCATCATCATCACGATCAGCACGTAAGTGCGTGCGCTAAATGTGTTGTATCAGTGTGTAGTAATTAGTGCCATGTGATGACGACAAGATACCGTTGTATCGATCATAATAATTATCTGATCTCTTGGTAGGGTGGTGAGGGATTGTTCCTTGGAGAGTCTCCTTTGCCATTTACTCGTGGGTGGTAATTTCCTTGCTCCCATTGGTCTTGCTCTTCTTGCTACCTTAGTTGTCGTTTATCAATCGGTTTGTACGTTTTATGGCAGAATTGGAGCTATTCGCGCTTCTCTCCATATCGAGACTTCTGTTGTGTTTACGAGTTTGTCTTGGGGAACCTAGTCACCGATGGCGTTGTTCGTGCGGGCTCAAGAAGTGTCTTCAGATCACTATTTTATGGCGGCATATGATGTCGCCAGTAACACGAGTTGGTTATTGTGCTATTCTATATAAATGTGGCAGTTTGCTGCACTGTGGAGTGTTGTGCGAGTCGGTTCGTACGATATTGCGCCATCAGTTCACTTCACTTGACGAGTTTCCAATGAGAGTTGGTCGACTCCTCCGGCATGCTGCGTCTGTTAAACGGGTTACTCGAGCGACAGGCGTCGGGAAGGATTCGGAAAAACTCGTACAACAGCTGAGGGCGGGTGGCATCACGAATGGCCCCCATGGCCGACCCAAGTTGCAGGAAGCCAACTCTATGGTAGGCTTCTGCACAACTAGGCCTGTCCCTCACTGGAGTTTGCAGGTGGGCAAATCGTGGAGGTCTTGGCGAGACCCCAATGAGGTAGCTCGAGTGCTAAGGGCTCTTGTGGGGTCCTATCGTGATGAGGGATCGACTCCAGATCCAGCGGTGTGTCTGGACATGCTGGCATACCTTGAGGAACACATGTCCGAGATAACAGACCTCCCAGGCCTTGTGTGAGCACCTTTGTTCATACATATGCTTCTACATGTGGTCTTCAGGCATTCGGTAGGGTTTATCTCGACCCCAGTGGGTGTTCTGCAAGATGTGGAACTGTGTGCGGCCCGTGACAAGTTCCTAGAGAAGGCATTCGACCGGCTCAAACGAAGGCATAGTAATCAGTGGAAGCGTATGGATCTTCCCCTCGTAGCAGCAGTGAAGAACTACAGACCACAGTGAGTACCGCTCCTTCGATACATCCTCTGGGATATACATGTCCCTTATTCATAGACTCTCTTTGGAAGGTACCGTGGTTTCATAATGGCGGTGCTCGATACAGCAGCCCGAGAACTGGAAGTCGAGTATGGCCGACAGCACTCTAACCTGGCCGACTCTCTCACGAGATTGCCCGTCTTCCTTCATGCCTACGCTGTCACGGGCGAAAGTGGCCATGCTGTCCTGAACGTGTCCGTCAACATCTTATCGAACCATATGGATCAAGTAGCTTGGAGGTTGTGGATGGCCATGGCAAGTTCTGTTACATGCACAGGTGCCGTTTTGGGTATTGACACACTCCACATCCCACCTGGCTACAATAGCAGCCCACGAATGCAATAGCGACTTGTTGAAGGGATTCTTCTGGCAGTTGAAGCGCTTGGAATGTACGGAGATGGCCGAATTGGCAAGGGAGATCTTCGCTTTCTACACGGCGCTTTGGAGGCTCAACCAAGCCTTACAAGAGGAAGACACTGAAGTCATGCGTCGCTGGATCGAGTGGAAATTGAAGGATATCATTACTGTGGAAGATCGTCTCTACTTCGATGGGTTCGCCTTGGAAAACCTATGCGTTCTTCTCTCCACAACTAAGCTGGAGGCGGCCGAGCTTTTGGAGGTGCTGAATAGAAGAGTTGTGGACGAGGATATCGGCACCTTGAGCCCGCCGGCGCTCATCCAGTGTCTCAGGTGATTCCCTCAGCAGTCGCTAAGTGATATTCTTTCATCAGATTACTGAGTGGGATCTCTATGAGTGCTTCAGAGTCACTCCAGAGGCGGCTGGCCGATCATATTTCTCGAGTTCAATGGCTATCAGTGGAAGCTATTATGAATCTAGCAACTTGTATTGAGGATTCTCGATTATGCAACCGACTCGGCAATGGCAGTGAGGGCCTCGTCAGACTGGCAGGTCGAGAGCTATTCCGCAGCTTGTTCGTGATAGACGAGGGTACACTGCAGCAAATATGCGTCAAGTTGCGAATTGCCATGGACAGAATTAACTCGGATGAATGCAAGTTCATTAACTCCTTGATTGTGAAATATAGCGATGAGCATGACACCTGAAAGTTTCGGATTTTGTTTCTGGTCTCGACACTGTTGGAGTGGTCAAGTTTCCGTTGAGGGGGCGTCTTGGATTTCATCTCTATTGAGAAAAGAGATAGATGCTCAAAAGATGTTGGTCGCATTGCGAACCGCAAGCCGCGTTGAAGAAGCGTATCCAATTATGGTTGCGTGATAACTTTTGTGTATACAAGCCGTAATCCCCTGCTTCATTTCGAGGCGGTATCGTCGTGCATCTCTAGCTCAAGATCTAGTTGGATAGGTCCTGGTGCTCATATTGGTGCTATTGGAAACGATCCTACACTTATCAACGCAGATTCACGATAGAGAAATTCAGAACATTAACTTTGTGGCATGTCTGGATGACTTTTATTTAGCATTAGAAAAGTCATAGCTGGGGAATTGCTCTTGTTGGGAAAATAGACCCATCGTCGTCGATGAATGCTGCCTGTTCTCAACTGGCCTCGGAAGACATCCAGTAACCTCGAGATCGTCGATGAGACGGTCCACATCGTCTATTCGGAGGACGGACCCTGCCGTGCGCAAATGTAATCAGATCCTGCGCTCGGAGTGGATACGTCGTTCGCGGAGTAGGAGGTCTCTGGTCAACAGATGCGACATGAGCGTATTGGCGATCCTCTCGAGATTCACCACAACTTCACCGCCTCCACCTGAAACGAATCTTGTGAAGAATGAACTCATCGTAATGGCTCACGTGGCCTAGAGGGGAGCTTGAAAATCTCCAACACGTCACTCTCGCTGTATCGGTCATTCTTAGCGACAGGAGCCATTGGAAGATGACCAGAAATCAACTCGGCGTGAGCGAAAAGATAGTGACTAGAACGCAACAGGAGTGTCCCTAGAGGGCATGAAAGAAGCATTGTTCCCATGTATTAAGGTTGTTAATGCTGGGTAATTCGACTGAGTGTCATGGCATCCTCAGCCACGTACGTAGTCGAGACCGATCGGGTGGGGGAATAGGCTCCTCTGGGGTACTGCTGCTGTTGGCTGTGGGGTGACAATCAGGCTGCCTTGCCTGAGATTCACCTGGTATGCCAAGGAAGACGCGGTACGGCTCCCAGGCAGAGACCTTGTATGGTCCATGGGTCTGCTCATAACAGCGCTCGAATGCCCTAGTATGGCTTGAGGACGATATGTCGTCGTCATGAGCCTTGCATACGGGAGGCTTACACTAGCCAGCCCACATGGCTGACAACGAGATCCGATCGCCGGGGATCGAGCTGGCAACTGAGTCGGCTGTGAGGCCACGTAGGAAGGCGGCGGAGCGAAGCTCGAGGCGACATACCTCATCGTAAAGTTACCACCTTGTGAAGTAGCCTGATAGCTGCTACGGGCCGGCTGTTGCTGATGAGGTTGTAGGGGTGGCGGAGGCCGCTGTTGGACAGTATTAAGCGCCACTTGCTGCTGCTGCTGTTGAGGCTCCCTCGGGGCACCCAAGAAGGGGGTTGAGAAATTCTTTTGCAAACTCATCATATGGGCACTGGCTTGACGGACTGGTTCACGCAGTGGCGAAGAGGATGAGGCGCTGGGCGTCTGAGCTATGGTGGCGAGGTTCCTGCCAAACGCCGCCATTTTGAAGACGTCCTCGTCGTCCATCCGCATGTCCGGTGGGGCCGATAAGATAGAAGCATCGGGAACACTTGCAGTTTCTCTTGTAGGCAGCGATGGAGTTTCCTCGACACCTGTGATCTGCAGGCCTGTGAGGCGGACCATCTGGCTGCCTAGACCAGCACCAAAGAGGGCAGGGCGGGATGGCTTGTATTCGACACTGGAGGGTCGGGCCTGCCTTTTCTTCTCTCGCTTGGCCCGGCTTGAAGGGATCGTCTGTCGTGGACGGGGAGTCACTTCCATGGGGGAAGACCGGGAGCTCTCGCTTGGTCTGGAGCTGCTGGCGATAGAGTTTCGCAGCCTTTCAGGAGCTCCCAAGGCCCTGGCCACCGACGGCTCGTGCTGGGCCAAACGTGACGAATAGTAATAGTTATAATATCTGTTCGTAAACCAAGGCCATGCTCCTATTCTAGCGGGGAAGCTCACGTTATGTAGTCCACACGATCACGGGACTCGGCTCCTCCCTGCGATGGGAAGGCATGGGTGCCGGCGTGCATCTCTTCGGGGAAGTCGTCGAAATTCTGAGTGTCAGTCTCGCTGTTCACAGTGGTCTATGATGGGTCGTATTCGGGAATACAAATTCGCATCTCTCACTTGATCGGCGCTTCAAGCTCGCGTAAATGATCCCAATCAAGACCAGCGAAGAGGGGATGAGCTCTGATGGCGTCGGCACTGAAAAAACTATAGTAGCGCAACAACAGTGCGAGACGTTGGGGCCTCACCTGAGTCTGTCCTTAGCATCGCATATCAAACGTCGCAATAGGTCCTCAGCCTCTGGACTGCAGCCACCGTTAGAAGTGGGTATGTGAAAGTATCGGCGCCAATTCTGCACCCGACGGCTCGTTACCTGGGCATCGGTATGGGAAGGTTGAGATAGCGGGAAGACCCACCAGCGGGTCGTGGGTTTCGTTGGAGAAGGGGGGGCCGCCGAAGAGCATCTCGTACATGATGACACCAACACTCCACCAATCGATAGACTCATCGTAGCCAGTGCCAGAGAAGACCTCTGGGGCCATGTAGTCGGGAGTACCTGTAGTTGGCCTTTTACAGTGCGACCACTAGCACAACACATGTGCGAACTAAGCCCTTACCAACGACTGAGCATAGCTTCTGACGAGCTGCATGGGTGAGCAACGTCGACTCCTCTAACACCGAGCCAACACTAGCGACACTGGTGTCCAGTCTGGAGTTAGTGACAGACCTTTGTCCGCCTACAACAGACCACTGGGAAGTGTACCGAGTAGAAGCTCCCCAATGTACCGGCCAGATTAGTGACAAGGTCTGGATGATATTTACTGAGGCCGAAGTCCAGAAGCTTGATGTGTCCTCTAGCATCAAAGAGGATATTATCAGGCTTGACGTCACGGTGGATGTAGGAGAGGCTCGTGTGGATATAGTCCACGGCTTGGACCAACTCGGCGACGTAGAAACGGGTCTCCTCCTAAGGCATGGCCATGGTGACCACCAACAATGATAGGAGCACTTCTGTGAATTTGTCCTTCCTGATCATATGCGTCATGAGGTCACCACCAGGGAGATATTCCATGACCATATACCTGCCGCAAGTCTATACCTACCCTCCGTCCTAGATAATCATCTCACAGGAAGTGCTTGTCCATAAAAGTGTACTTCAAGTCGATAACCCAGTCAGTGTGGGCTAGCGCCAGGACATCCCTCTCGGCTAAGACGTGATGGACCTGCTGGAAGGGCTGGGCAACCCTCAATGGACTCAGCATCATTCAGATGGGCTCTCTGTCGACACTAGATTCATGCAGACGTCCTTCGCATTGGTAAGGACACTAGCATGTGCTACCTGCTTCTTCCTGTCCATGTCCTTCTTCCTCATCTGCTTCATAGCGTATATATTCCCAGTGCTTTTCTCTCGTACCTAAGCACAAGGCCCCTTACCACAGCACAATGATATCAAGCCTAGACATT